GTCCCCGCTCAGATGTCACTGTCGCCATCCAGACCACATTCTGTGGGTAAACAGCCTGGGCTGCGTGTCTCCCGTCCTTGACGTGGAAGGCTCTGCTAGGTGATAATGGTTGCTGAAAAACTGTAAAAACGTGCAGAACATCGGCCCAGAGGGGATCCCTCTGAGGCAGGAGGCGGCCATGCTTCCCCCTCCCCTCCTCCTGCCTGTCGGGCTACCAGGTGCCCCTCCCTTTGCACTCCTCTGCTGGTTTCGATGATCTATGGTCAGGATGACATGTTTCTGGCCCCCCACCCCTGGGCAAACAAATATGGCCCATATTGGGAGTAGTGGAGGCCCTGAGCGTCGAGAACGGTTATGTGCTCAGCTGCCAACCGAGAGGTGGTCCTGAGAACCCACCCAGAAGTACCTCGAAGGAAAGGCCTGGCACTCTGCTTCTGAGAGGGCACGGCCTGGGAATCCCTCCTGGTGCCCTTGTTCTCTGTACACCCGGGGCCACCTTGACGGTGGCACCTGCCCAGACCTCCCAGCAGAGAATATTTCAGTTGAACTCCGACTCCAGGTGTGACCCGTGGAGCTCATCACCCCCGCCTTACAGGGCAGCAGCGGCTGGCTTAGCACCTCGCACACAGCCATACTCCCGCCTTGCTCCTGCATGCTTTCTACCGACCCAGCCCCTCTGGAGGCCCAGCTGCATGCAGTTCCACTGTTGTTCTAGTGGCTCTTGTCTGCACAGCCTGCTGGGTCCTGCCCACGCCCCCGCCCCCAGAGATAATGGTTAGGGTGGGTCTGCCCTCTACCTCTCCAAGGACACCCAGTGATGCAGTAACTAGTGGCGCTCTGCTGACCCCGACCTGGGACATCTGGCAGGCCGCTCAGCAGACGGGCGTCTCTTTCTGAAAGGGCCCCAGCAACCCTCCTGATGCAGACTCTGCCTCCTCGCTGAGCGAGCGGCCGCGCTGCCTGGGTTTGTGACGCCCCAGAGAGGGATTCGCTGCTGTAAACCAGAGTGCGCCTGATCTGCGCGTGAGACTAGCTCCGTGTGTGTGAGAGAGGGCACGCGAGTGCAGTGCATGTGTGCGACGCGTGTGATGCTGTGGTGGATTTCTCTTCCCCATCTGTAAACTGACGGGCGGGCTGGCTGTGGCCTCTTTGAGGAGCTGCGTCGTCCGATGCTGCTGTGCCCTGCCCTCCAGTTGACTTCCGAGGCCCGGCGAGCCTGTGAGGCAGAGGGTGCCCTGGGCTGCTGTCCTCGTGGCCACAGCAGAGCTGGTGGGTGCTTTAGCAGCGAGCACTCAGCCCCTGTGCCACCAACACTCCTTCCCTGGAGTCTCAGAGGGGCTGGGGGCCAGCGGGGGGCGGCTAATGGAACCATTGCCGAACGGCAGAATCCCCTTGGTGACAGGGCCGGCAGCTTGCAGCCTCTGAGGTGTGGAAGACTTAGCAAACCCTCCCTGCCTTTAAAAAAAAAGAGAGAGAGAACTTTAATTATGGCCAGGATGTGATTCACGGCCGGACATGCAGCAGTTGGACGATCTCTTAGTCCAGTTCTGTGACGCTGCTGATGTGCTCAGACAGCCTCCGCAGCCGCCGCCTCTGGGTCCTTTCTCCCCCCCCCCCACGGACACCCGCTGCCTCCGAGCTCCCTGACCAATCTTCCGAGTTCTGCTGACGCTTTGAGCCCAGAGAGAGAGCTCTTCAAAAGAGCACAGTGGGCAAGGGAGACCATCTTTACCAGCGAGGCTGAAACTGCTGCTTGTTTCAAAGAAGGCTTCAGGGGAAAGTTTGGGTTGAAGGCTCAAAGACAGACCGGGGACCAGTAGTCTCAGGGTTCACCCACCTTCTTTGGTTCCAGGGAACCTGGAAGTTGTGAGAATTTGAAATACTGGTCTGCGCGTCTCCGCTAATTCCACCCTCCCAACACACACCACTACCACGCCCCTTTGATCCAAGAGTCTGGTCAAAGTGGCCAGTCCTGGTGGCTGGGCACCACCTAGCTCTTCTGGTCTCGTGGCAAAGGAGGCCAGTGTTGATCGAGGCAATTGGCCACACATCCCATGTCTGCCTCCCCTGCCCCTCCTGGCTCTCCCTCCTCAGTCGCCTCAGGTGAATGCAGCCACTTGCCTTGGATGCCAGGCCCAGGCACTGCCCAGTGGGCGGGTGGTGGGCGGAGCACCGAGGGCCACCACAGTCTGTCTTAACTTCTCCGGTTCCCCCTTTATATTGGCTGACACGACCTCTTCCCCATCCCAGCCCCGGCCACCAGCTTGGTTTCTGTGCATTTGCCCATTTCCTGAGTGAGCCTATCCAGCAGCTGCCCCTCTGTGTCTGTCTGGCCTGCCTCGCACAGTGTGCTGCCCCCAGGCCTTCACCAGGCTGTGTAGCAAAGGAAGAGACTCGGGGCGTGGGCGGACCCCTTTGGGCTCAGTCCCTCCTCAGTCGCTGGACACTTGGCTCCCATTGGTTGCCGCCTGGCCAGCCCCTACTCGTGGGCAGCCGACTTGTGTGCCACAGAGGGCAGGCTGCCTGATCTCAGGCTGTCTGCGGGGTTGAGGTCAGGTTAAGTATTGTCTCAAAACCCGCAACAACTCACTGTTGCCTAGGTCAATGCCAACCCATAGCGAGCCTGTAGGACAGGCCCGGCCCTGTGGGTTTCCCAGACTGTAAACTGCTGATGGGAGTAGAAAGCCCTGCTGGCTGCTTTGAACTACTGACTTTGCGGATCACAGCAGTCCAGCTCCTAACCACTGCACCACCAGGGCCCTGGTTTCCTGAGAGGGTGTCCGCCATCATTCCTGTGCTGTTCCTCGCTGCATCAGAGCCCCCGGCGGCCGCTGTGGGCGCTCTCAGCAGCCCTTGGAGGCCTGAGCACTGGTTTGAGGAGGGGGCATCTCACAGTGGGTGGGAACAGTCCCTTGGGGGAAGCAGGGCGCCCCAGACCTGTCTGTGTTACAGAACGCTCTGTACTGAAGCCACCCGGTGGGCTGGCTGGCAATCTCCGCGGCTCTACGTTTGGCTTGTCGTGAGAAGAGGCCCTGCCTGCCAGCAGCACGGGCCGCTCAGACTCAGATGTGCACTGCCACGGAGTGGATTCTGACTCACTGGGAAGACCTGGGCTGTGTGCGAGGGGCTGCTGCTGGGGCCGGTGCAGAGGCTGGCACCTCCCTCACATGTTCACAGTCGCCTGGCTCCTGGTTTGCACAGGAAGTCCTTGGAGAAGCTCAGACCAAACAGGAAGTGACATGTCCCAGGGCAGCAGAGCACCAGCAAGCCTGAGGCCAGCGGGCTAAGGGGGGACGTGGCGGGCCCGCAGCCTTGGACTGGTGCATCCTGTAAGGGACAGGCTGTGCGCATGTCCTAGTAAACCTGCCCCTGAATCACTCTCGTCTGTTTGGAAATGAAGCCCGATTGCTGCAGAAACCAGGCTTCTGTTTCCTTTGATGCTCTTTAGTTGGGGGGGGTGTGTGTGTGTGTGTGTCACACACACTGGGGTCTGGGTAACAGTTTCCTGAGCAGAGTAGTTTCACGTTCAGCAATCTGTCCACGCTTGGTTGTGTGGCACTGCTATGCCCCCTCTGTGTCACACGGCTCCTCCTCCTTCGTCCCACAATCCCCGTGTCCATCCCTCCTCCCTCCCGACCCCTCCAGCGTTGAGCTGTGTCTCCTGAAAATGCCCTGTTAGTCTCCCCGGAGTGCATGCCTCCCGAGTGTCCCTGTCCTGTCTGTTGTCTGAGGGAGGACACTTGGTGTCATGCGTGGTGGGTTGCGTGGTGGCCTGCTGACCGACCCGCAAGGTCAGCAGTTTGAAACCTACCAGCTGCTACACGGGAGACAGACGAGGCTTTGTGCTCCCGTAGAGCGTTCCAGGCTGGGGAATCCACAGGGGCAGTTCTACCCGGTCCTGCAGGGTCTCTGTGAGCGGGTTTTGTGTCTTCAAACTCCGGCTCAGTGGCGGGGCGTGAGTGATTGTTGCACTGAAGGGCTGGCCCCCAGGTTGGGAGCTACGGTCCCAGGGGTGGGGGTGGGAGTTTGCACTCAGCTCCTGGTCTCTTTGTTGATGATTTTGAGTCCGTGCTTCTCTCCCACCCTCTCTGCCTGGGACCCTCTGTTGTGACCCCAACCCGAGTGGTCTGTTTGGGGCTACTTCTGGTCAGTGTCACAGAGGCCACGGAACCCGTGGTCCCCTGCCCCTGGGCTCTGCTCGCCCTTCTCTGGCGGATTCAGGTGGATTTCTAGTGGGTGTGGGAAAGGGGAAATTGGCTAGAGCCTTGTCCCCTGCGGCTCCATGAGCGGCAAAGGATGAGGCTGGCGCGCCAGTTCCAGAGTGCCTCGGGGAGGGGGGAGGGGGGAGGGGAAAGGGACATGGGGTGGGGGTGTAGAGACATTAATTGGAAGACGGGTCCCCTCGGTGCAGACCCCCTCAGGTAAAGAGAATGTCGGGAGGTGTCAGAGAAGTGAGGCATGTGGCCGCTGTGGCTCCTGCTGTGCTGGGGGAATGGAGGGGCCGGGAGGACTGCCCCTTTTGGGGGGACCGCTTGGAAGTTATGATTCAGTGTGGGAACCACTGAGGGTTTGCCAGGTTCCTTCCAAGCTGAGAGGGAGTGGGGGCGTCCCTGCCCCATCTCCCCTCTGCACAGAGAGCACCCAGTGTCTTCGCTGCCGTGTGCCCGTCCCCTTGCAGGCCTGGCCCTCTCTGGGGACCCAGCATCCATTATCTGCTCAGGATGCTACTACCACTTCCTGTTTACTCGGCGCCTCTGGGATCAAAGCGGCCGATAGCCATCTCTCTTTGCTAAGTAAACATGGCCAGCTCCCATAAACACCTCCGTCCAGAGGATGCAGCCTCTCGCCCAAGGTGTGACCGGCTGGCAACCGGCCAGGGCTCCGAGGCTGGATGAGCACACATGGGCAACTCATGCCGTGGCCAGCCGGCCGGCTCCCCGCCGCTGAAGGTTCCGTGCCAGTGACTCACTTGGCTTTATGTTCTCTTCTCCCCTGGACAGAAACCAAAGCCCAAACCCCGGCCGTCCATCACAAAGGCAACTTGGGAGAGCAACTACTTTGGGGTGCCGCTGACGACGGTCGTGACCCCAGAGAAGCCGATCCCCATCTTCATCGAGAGGTGTATCGAGTACATTGAAGCCACGGGTAAGCGTGTCCTCGTCACATCCCGGAGCTGACCACCCCCCGCCCGCTGGGGCTGTGGGCTGTGTGCTGGAGCACCGAGCTGGCCACTGGGCTGGGGCCACGAGTGCAGCTTAGCGTCCAGTGCCTTCTGAGAAGTGGCTGCGCAGGCCTCGTGCTGGCAGGCCCAGGGTCCCTCGCCGAGGCCGCACTTGTTGTTGTTGGACCTGGGCGGTGGCTCTGCTCTTAGACCCCAGTTGGGGCTGGGGAGGTAGGTGCCTCCCCTGTGCTCCCCCATGAGCAGATCCATCGTCGCCTCTCAACCGTTTGTGTCCCCATTCATCTGGAAACTGCTGGAGGGCATGGAAGGGGCTGCTGGTTTACCTGTGTGGCCTCAGACACTGGGGACCAAGTACCTTGCGGCTATAAAACAGATGAGGAGCCGTGATGGATGCTGACCAGGTGTCTGAGAGGCATGCCTGGAGAGGACTTTTGACTGTGTTTTTGTTTGGTTTGCTGGGGCAGGAGCGCCTGGAAGGGCCCCGGTGTCTTCCGGCCGCGTGCAGTTAGACTTCAGCACCACCGGCAACTTGGCCGTCCCCGCCCAGGTGGATGTAGCGGGGTCGTGGTGCGCCATCAAGGGACCGTGCTGGTGTTGGCAGGGCTGCACAGTGAACTCTCTAGAAGGCCTGGGGCCGCTGAGTGGATCACGTACGACCACAGTGGCCCCGTGGGCTGCAGTCCCACTGCTCCCGGGCGATGGTCATGGCCCCGGTACTGCCCTGCAGCTCGGTGATCAAGCTACCAGTGGCTACTGTGCTTGGCTCTCCCACTGGAGCCGAGCACTAGTCCTGGGGGAGTGTCCCTGTCAGTTTCCCTCACCGGGACCTGCTCTGTCTGTCTGTCTGTCTGTCTCGTCCATGACGTAGCTGTGTTTAAAGAGAACAGGCCAGTTCCTGCCTAGGATGTTCCTCCACCAGGCTTGGCCTCCGTTCCCTTCGAGATTTGACTCTGCAACACTTTGGGGGAGCAGGGGGTGGCGTGCTGTGTCCTGGTCCCATGGCTGGGGGCATGTCTCCGGTCCACCCTGCAGAGGTTGGCTTTGCTCTCTGATCACAGTGCCGTCAATGAGTCTCATCGTCCATGACGTTGGGGGTCCATCCCAGCTGTGCTTACATGCCTGGGCTGAGCACCTGAGCCAGCGGACTCTTGCCTGTGTGTGTTGTGGGCAACCTTCCCCAGTTAGCAGCCTGGCCCTCAAGTCCTGTTGTGCTGCCTCCCCCGCGCCCTCTGCATGTGGCCATCAGGAAGCGCTCTCTCCACTATCCGTGGGGTGTCAGGCAGGTGAGTGTTACCCAGGTACCCTCTGGGCTCCTCCGGGGCCTGCACGCAAGCCAGGAGATTGGCTCTGGATCGTCCAGCAAGGGCCTCACCCACCGCTCCCTGCCAGTGAAAAGCTTTAGCCTGCCTGCCTCTCCTGCGCCCTGTGTAAACACGACCTTCCCCAGTGAGCAGACTTCAGTGGTCAGTTCTACTCCGTCACCTCCTGCCTCTGTCCACTTCACTTCTGCCCCCAGCCCAGTGGCGCCCGCTGTGCCCTGCTCACCTGCCTGCTTCCTCCCCTTCCTGTTGTGTACCACAGCCACAAGCCTGGGTTCTTACATTCTCTGACGGGAACACGGATCACACCTGTGCTCTCTGGGTGTCTGCGCCTTGGTTCCACGTGCTAGCCCTGGCCTCAGACTTGGCCTCATTCTCCCCTCCCCTTCCCAGCAGCACCGTAGTCTTTCTCATGGAAATGTCACCTCCCTGGGGACAGTGAGGAGCCTGGTGGGGCAGGGCTGGGGAAGGTTGGTGGTTGGACCGCCAGGAGAAAGGTGAGGCCAGGACTTAAGTCGGTGCCAGGACTTAAGTCGGTGAAGGTGGCGGGCTGGGTGGTTCTGCTCTGCCCTTTGTAAATGTGCAGTGGTGAAATCTCAGAAAGGACTGAAACTGGGGTTGGTGAGCTCGCGGTCTGGGTCGTGTACGCTTTTTCTAACTCCTAAGCGAACTCTTTTGGTTGTTTGCTTCGTTTTTAAAATTAAAGCATGGCCCTTGTAGAAATTCAGCAAAAGGCCAGGCTCAGGAAGAGCGGGAAGGTGGTGGTGGAGTCGCGTAGTGGGAACCACGGCCCCCATCCCGCTTTGCTTTTCTCCTGGCCCCTGTATGTGTTCTTCCAGAAGGAGCTGAGCCAGATGGGGGCTCAGGAAAAGGAGGAATCTGAGTAGAGCCCACCTAGGGGAGGCAAAGCCCCCCGATTGGCCAGCTCACCCACTCTCCACCCCAGGGCAGAAGTTGGCTGCTGGCTGTAGCCCATGAAGATTTTTCTTCTTTCTTTTTCTTAAATGAATCTGTTTATGTGTATTCTTAATGTGGGTCAACGTTTACAGAATCAATTCCCTTTCCACTCACGCCTCCCTGCACATTTTGGTCTGTGACACTGGACTGCAGTCCCCACAATACGACAGTCCTCTTTCCCCTTCCTCCTTGTGTCCACCATTTCCTGTTCCTGCCGGCCTGCGGGGCTGGGCCCCTCCCTGGGCAAAGACTGCCCTTGGATCTGCTGTGGCTCAGGATTCTGATGAGTGCTACCTCCCTGGGGTGAGAGTTCCCCGGACAGGCTGCCTTTGGGCTGAGTGGGGAGCCGTGGCAGGGGAGGGGCGATTGCAGCTCCAGGGTGAAAGGTGACGAGGGCATGTATCTTGGAGCAGCCCGGTCTTTTATCACTGTTCCAGGGTCTGTATTTGTCTCCCCCACTGACCCAGCACTGCTCTGGTGAGCCCTCTCGGGGCGGGTGCCACTGGCCGGTGTTGGCACCATCTAGTTGACCCATGTGAGAACTACTGCTTTTTAAACCAGCATTGTCCTGAGAGCAGGGGTCCCTGTCCCACAGAATGTGACGTTGAATGGCTTTGCCCGCCTCCGTGAAGTGGTCACGTCACAGACTGTGCGTGTGTGTGTGTGCGTGCGTCCTGCTGTTGGGCCCTCAGTGAGGCATTCTGACAGTGATGGGAGAGTCCCCGGCTGGTGAGCACCTGTCTGATCGCTCAGCCAGCTCCGAGGCGCCCCTGGCCAGCTAACAGCCTCCACACGCCCCCTCCCCCGCCAACAGGCCGCTTCTTGAGCGTGTTCCCGTTTTAGGAACTAGGACACGGCTGCCCAGGGCCACTGCCAGAGCTCTGGGGAGCCGGGCAGTGTGTGTGTGCACGCGTGGCGTGTTGTCCCATTTGGCTTCCTCCCTGTGGGTGTGCAGACGTTACTGTGAAGTGTAATTCTTCATAGCTCTTATCTTTGCCCCCACCTTTTTCGTTGAAGATGGTACAGCCTACTGACAGGTAGACAGGGTGTGCAGAGATGAGCCAGTATCCACCTGTGTGGTGTGTGCTTTGCCATATGTGCTCTGCCACTCCCTCCCTCTAACTGTTAAGCCATTTGAAAGCACACCTGCAGGTGCCATGACACTTGCTCCACAGCCTCTCCTGGAGCCTGGGCGTGAGCTCTGTCGGCATCCCTCAGAGAGCGCTCCAGACTCTCAGCCACGGAAGCGAAGCCGGCTCGTAGGCCAGGCAGAACGGCCCTGCGGGTTCCGAGACTCACTCTTTAAGGGACTAGAAAGCCCCGTCTTTCGCCCACAGAGCATCTGGTGGTTTTGAACTGCAGGCCTTGCGATTAGCAGCCCAGTGATTAACCCAACATGCCACCAGGGCCCCTCTCTCACAGACAGCCCCTGCCAGTCTGTGTGCTCGGCGTGTGCTGCAGGATCCCATCAGTATGCACTCTGTGTGCGTGCTGTCCTCTCTCTACAACAGTCCTTCCTGCGCACCCTCCTCTTCAAATGACCTTTTTGCCACGTCTAGACAGTTGTCCATCCAGTGTCCTCTCTGCATAGCGTGCTGTCTGGATCTCGTCACCCTCTCAGCATCTTGCCAACACCGCCTGTCCAGGGCCACCACACAGTGAGTGAGGCCGCTTCCGAGCAGGGCTGAGCCCTGAGACCCACAGGGCGCAGAGGGAGCTGGCTGAGCCAGTGGCTGGCCGGCGGGCTGTTGCTCCCTCAGCTCCGAGGGGCTCACATGGAACTGAATTCTCTCAGGGACTAATGCTGCCCTGGCTTTCTGGGCCCCTCTCCCTCTCCCTCTCCCTTGGTAGGAAAGGCCCCACTGCCACTCCCTGGTGTTCCAGGGCTGTCCTGCTGCATTAACGCTCATGCAGGCAATGCTTGGAACCACCCGGAGGGGGGTGGGTGTCAGCGCCCCCTCCAGCCCACCAGACACGGGACATTCTCAGTACCTGCTATCCAGCTGTCAGTGCCAGTGTAGAGGACCAACGTAAATGAGCACCTTAGATCATCCTATCAGTTGAACCAGCATGTGTGTGTGTGTGTATGTGTGTGTGTGTGTGTGTGTTTTCAAGATAGAGAGAGAATGATACAAAGAAACAAGACTCATGATAGAAAGGGGGGCTCCCTTACAATCCCGGGCTCCAGCTGTGGATCCATTCATGGATCAGTTTTGCTAATAAGTTCATTTTGTCTAGTTGATTGAGTCACGAGGGCCCCGTAGGAGGGAGTGGAACTTGCCCTGCAGCATTTCTAAGGCTGTGGCTTTGTGCAGGCTGACCGCGGCAGCCATCGATGGCCCGTAACAGCTGCAGGGTGGGAGCTGTCTGCCCTTGCTGTGCACCGGCCTGGCAATGTCAGAAAGTGCTCTTCCGCCTTGGCACCTTGGGCATCACTTTCCAATCCCACCTCCAGGCCAGCGGTCTTTTCCTTGCTGGCCAGAGGCGAGGGGCTCAGGCGTGGGCAAAGGCGCCAGGGTCCCTCTGGGTGTGTGAGCAGATTGCAGCATACCTGCCAGACTTGGGTCCCCAGGAAAGGACCTGGCCTGAGCCCCCTGTGAGTAGCGTGTGGGGAGCCGGCCTGGTCTGTACCCATCTTCTCTCTAGCCAGCCTTGTGTCACAGAGCTTGTAAAGCAGGAGCGGCCAG